GGCTGGGTGTCTATGACTACCAATCTCACGCCAGTTATGCCATTTACTATGGGGACGCGAGTCTCACACATGAATCAGCTTGGATCACACTATGTATATTGCAGCTTTGTATTTGAAATAGACAATTTAAAAAATATTGGTCAAGATTCTCACTAGTCAGTCAAACGCTGACAATTTCCCCACATGTTACAAGACTAATTGGAATCTGTGGTTACCGATTACCGTTTACCGATTCTGTTGACAAAATCGGGAAAATGAATAAGCTACAAACAGAGCCACAGCTAAGATGTGGCTAACTCTGCCAACAACCACGTGTCTACGGTTAAGAGGCATTCAGTCTCGCCAAATTCAAACTAATATCAAAAATGGAAAACATGTAAAATAAAGTAATTAAGAATTCAGCTGAGCATGCCGACTCGAAACCAACACCACAAGGCTTACCTTGCTCAACTGTCGTGCGGAACTTAATCTGCCGAACTGAATGGTTCGAAATGTCGTGCTAATTCCGTGCCAGTTAATCATAGTTATTTACAAGAAGAGTTAAAGAATCGAGGTTCACGGCGGCAGGGTATTATAGAGATTTAGATCCACGTCATGTTACGCGAACGGAAACTCGCAAAAATTGAATTTTTGCTTGTTCCTTTCAGTATTTTATGCAATAATTTGAAAATGTTTGTAGTTCCTTAGGGGTTAGTGTTTTCAATTTAATTTTTCTTTTGTATCTATTCGTCAGGATTTGAAGAAAAGGAGGCGACATTCGGAGGGGAATTTTACCGTTCGCGTTTGCAGGAAACGTAGTTCTAAATCTATCGTTTAACCCAGCGATGGAAAACGCCATCCAGTACTATTCATCAGGTCCATGTTAACGCTAAATCGTAGAGTGTATCAGGATTGAAACGTATTTCTTGTTGATGAAGATGACTACATTCCGTGAAATGTCAACAGAAATAGAAAATGAAGGTTGATTTGAAAACCGACAAACTTCTGGTACACTTACACCCACGCGAACTTAATTTTCTAAGTAAGGTCTCTTTCGCAGCCGTAGGATGGACAAAATGAATTAAAGGGTGATCTGTTTTGAGGAAAATATTACTAAACCACCAAGACATGGCGAGGTGTGAACGGAATAATCAGAATAATTTAAAACAAGCTTTTCTCTTCGATCACTACATATAATAGCAGTAATAGTAAACTTACTATTGCCTGATGAGATTGTTCCCTTTCCTTGATAAACATTACACGACCAAATAATGATTTAACTCACGCCAAACTTATGGTAGTCCTGAAAGCAGTGTTCCTTCCATATCGAACCTTTAGCTTTAATATTGAATAATGCCTACAAAAACACGCTAGAGGAAATAGCCAATAAGTGAGCTCATGCTGAACAGGTCTGACGCTAGTTGAATATATTAACCTGTACTCGCCAGTGTAGCAGTCTTTTCTGTTTCCGTTCAAGCAAGCGCGAGTCTCCCGAAGGCACGAGAACTGAAGGAACAAAAAAATATAATCCTTCGCGCGACTTCCCCTTAGCTTTCGCTTTCTACCGCTAAAAGGAAACGGAATAGGCTGCTACGCAGGCTACAAAGGGGTAACGCAAGAACAATGCAGTAAAGAGAAAGTACGCCATGTATTGCAGGCGAGGATTTAAAATAGAATCATTTCAAGTTGCAATGAGCTTATCATTCTCCGCTTGGCGGAGTTGCCAACTTTAATGTGACAAAATCAATTTCTTTGTAGATCAGAGCACCCTGCAAAGCATGTGGCATCTGCCCATTAGGACTTTATCCTACATTGAAAAGTCTCGGCAAAGCGTGGAGACAAATTATCGACACAAATTGTTGTCATAGCAGTGAGACCACGCTTAATACACCTTGATTTTATAGCCATCATGCCAACAGCAATAACTCTCTCTAATGACAGCACTACGGTTCTGAAATTTTCAGAAGATATCATCTATACATAGATCTATGCAATAAACCTTGAAGATGCATGTAGCATCATGTTAACCAATATGTCGAATGGTGAAAAACAATAAACATAAGCAAATAATAGGCCCATTTTTTTAAAATACGGGCCTGTAATGGAATAGTCAATGTACCTCTCTTATTTCTGTTCAGTCCATTGCAGAGAAGCACTATAATTTCTAGAATTTCTGGAAAATTTCATTTAATTGTCTTACCCCTTTCACTCCCAGGAGTGACCAACATATACATTCTTCTTACAAAAATATTTTAATACACTGTCAAGCAGATAAGTAATCAGGGTTAAGAAATTATCAACTAGAGGGTAGTTTTTTGATATAACACCAAATTCTCATGAACAGCCAACACAGGTCTGTATGGTCACCAGTTATGAGGATTACCTTTCAGATCTTTGGAGTGAAAAGGTTGAAAAAAATTTGACCTAGAGCTGTCTAGCTAGCCAGAGTCCTGTTAAAATGTAGTTTAAGGGAAAATTGCATTTAAAATTGTATTTGGGCTTTTCAACCATTTGTTCAAAGTCTGCGCAAAGTAAGCTTTTTTTAAAATCCTCCAGCAGCATAACTCCCTCTGCATGTTAGTTTTTTTCATTTATCCACTTAGCACCTTTCTCCTTTTCTTCCTTTTATCTCTCTCTTAGTACTCAACACCACAAATGCAATCCAGGTCATAGCATCTGCACCCTCTTTAGTCTATTTCCAAAGAGAGATTTTAAAGTATGGGTAAGTAAATCTTCACTTAACTTTTGAAATACAAGCTTAATTTTTGCAGTCACAATATGAGCTCTACTATGCTCTTTTCTTACACATTACGGAATACACCCAGCATGCCCAATCAATGAAAATTGATAATCAGTAAATTAAAATTAAATTGATATTAATCTACAATAATTGATCGACTGATAATGGACAATCAATGAAAACTGAACATCAAAAGAGTTGCCAGTATCGATTTTCATCGATTTTAATCAGTTTTCATCGATTATATCAATTGCCAATAGTAATTTTTAAATAAGAAATGATTCAGCTACATTTGTGCTGCATGTAAGTAATTGTAAGCCTTACTTAATGTAAGTTTCCTCTTCTTAAAAAAGCTTTATCATTCAAATTATTGCTCCTTTTCCTCTGAATGTGTAAAATTTGAAAAACTTGATTGAAATTGTGTTATGAAAAGTCTCATCAGTTGAAACCTGTGCTACATAGACAGTGCTCTCTATATTATATGACCCTACATTATCTGTGAACAGATGCAGATTTGTACCCATTGAACAAAGCAATCACATGTATTAGCTCTAATAAGCTCTTTTCCTACACCTTACAGAATACACCTGGTGTACCTGATCAATGAAAATAGATAATCCCTAAATTAAAATTAAATTGATATATTAATCTATAATACTTGATCAATTGATAACAGACAGATGATGAAAACTGAAGATTGAAAGAGTTGCAAAACTCGATTTTCATCAATTTTATTAGTTTTCAGTGATTATATCAATTTTCAATAGTAATTGATAAATAATGAATGATTCGCCTACATTTGTGCTACACATAAGTAGTTGTTAGCCTTTCTTATTTAAAAGAGCTTTATTCAGGGATGTAGATAATAGCTGGAAGCCGGGAAAATTACCCGACTGTGAACGCAATTTTTCCAGCTGTGCAGCACTACTTTTTTCTCTAAAATGTTTTTAAATGTTGTCAGAAGATTGTAATTTATTTATTTCATTTGTTTACACCTTCAAATCTAGGTATAGCATGCCAGAGGCATGTTAGAGTGGGCCTTCGGCCTAAATACCTGCCTATCATTGCAAGATTCCCGCCTATTAAAAACTTTAGTTACATCCCTGTTATTATTCAATTGCTGCTTTTCCTCTAAATGTGTAGAAATTTAAAAAACTTGATTGAAATGTGTCATGAAGTCTCATCAGTTGAAACCTGTGCTACATAGTGCTCTCTTTATGACCCTCCATAATCTGTGAACAGATGCAGATTTTTACGCATTGAACAAAGTTTGTTGAAAGCAGTTACTCCCATTTAAAATAACTGAGGTCAGCCAATTTTTCCCAGTTTTTTCATGTATAGGCTAATTTTAAGGAGAGAAAATTTAGCATCTTTCCATAATGCAGATTTGTATGCATTGAACAGAGTTTGATGAAAACAGCTACTCCCATTTAAAATAACTGAGATCTGCCAATTTTTCCCAGTTTTTTAATGTACAGGCCAACTTTTAGGAGAGAAAATTTAGCATCTTTTCTCCATCTATTAAAGCTGATAATAATCAATAAAATTAAGAGGGCTTGGTAGGTATCAATTTTCATTGATAGATGGGACCAATATTGATTTTAATTGATTAATTTTGATTGATTGGATTATATTGATTGCTTTCTGATTATCAATTTTCATCTATTGGGCATGCCGAAAAAACACCAAACAACTGTTTACCTATAAACTTAAAGTCTGTTTTTAAATGTCCAAAACAAAATGATGTTTCCCACCACAAATTTCGCAGAAGACAAGGAGAATAATTAAGGCACATACCCTATTTCAAAGTTTTTTTTCTGAAAGCACTAAGCTGAAACATACATTATCAACAAACCTCATCAAAGAAAATGTCCAGAGTGGGAGGGGTTGGCTATATAGGTATGAGCCACAGATAGGATATGGATTTTGAGTTCCTCAATCCTTAAAAATTTATAGGACATTATTTTTACCCCTGTTGGCATTGTATTCCCAGTGTGATCCTCAGATAGGGCACCTAAATTGTATCAGCTAAAATTGCAATGTATAGATGCCCAGCTAAACAAAAAACAAAACAATCTGTAAAATCTTTAAATTATCCACTTTAGCATTAGCAGTGATTTTAAAGAGATTTGTGTTTTGCCATGCATTGTCAGCTGATGTTTGCATTTTGCTTTTCCCTTGACTAGGGTGTTATTTTTCGAATTTGGGCCTTAAATAGAGGGTCAGCATGGGGAATACAAATGTCAGTTGTCAGTTAAAATTTCAGCTAGTTGTCAGTTGTCAGTTTTGAAAACTTTGGCTATTTGTCAGTTAACCCCATCCAGACACTCTAAATAGGGTAACAATTTTCGTTTGCTTCATTCTTAAATAGGGTCAGCGTTAAGACCTTTCGCGGTAAACTCCTATCCGAAATTTACCGGCGTATCCCCTCCCTCCCCTCCACCCCAGGGAGAAAATGCTCTACCGAGCAAGTTCAGAAACTCCATCAACAAACCTCATATCCGTTATTGTTGCCACTTCCTCGCGCGGTTTTCTCTTTATACACGGATTAGATTCAGTGAAATCAGGGGTGCTTACCACTTACATAAACCATCCGGGTGGAAATCGCGTGCATAAACATTAAACAATTAAATCTGACGTTGTGGGAGAGGGAACCGCTACAAACTATATCCACATCAGCTAGAGAGACTCAAAAGAGAAGAAAAATACCTTTACCTCAAATCACAGCCCGTATTTTCTGAAGCTTCCCAAACGGAATGGGGCGAACCATTTGATTTTCCTATTGGAATTTCCAGTTTTCTCATGTAAATGGTAAGTACCCCAGGCTCCGGCAAGAGCTTTTTCAAAGACACAGACTTCTTGACCTGGTATGTTGAAAAGGGTATACGAGCCACGTGCTTCAGCGTTCAAATCATCGCTGTTAGAATCTTCCGAGGGTTTCGTGAATTGACCCTCCAAAAACCTCTTCTTTGAATGTCTATTCGTGCTATGCTTAGGAGGCATAATTGGTTGTCGATGTGAAGAGATAAAATAACAGGTAAAATATCTCAAAACAACGCACTCCAAACATTGTGCTGTGACTCCAAGTAAATTATGGCGTTATATCCCCACCAAAATTCGACTTTTGCTTTTCATATTCATTTCCCATTTTAGTTTTGTTGTCCACGATTCGGCATGGGAGTTTCATAATGCAACATTGTAGTTCCACATTACAACATTTCGTAACAAGTCTTGTGTTTACGACGCGCCACTCATGCGTTTCCTGCAACCCGACACTAGCGATTAAATACAGGAATGGCTCCGACCTGTGATTGGATGATGAAAATAGTAAAAGTTAATAAGTTATATCTTAACTCGTTGCTCGTGAGTATTGTTAACCACGTGTCTCGAAGCGGAACAATGAAATATCAATGAAAAAACACCGATGAGTTAAACAAGAAATGGCTACTTACATAACGAAGAGAAGGCAGAGTCTATCTTGTTCAGCGAGGTCGTTCAATGATATTCCGGCGATGAAAAAGTCATCCGCTGACAAGCTCCGCTGACAAAACTCATCTAGTCAGTTTAGGCAAACGACCAGAGACTGGTGCCATTCGTTTATTTCACCGCAGACAGGAATGGCTCCAACTCATGCGTATACTAATTTTTTTTTCGTTCTGGCTAAATAATTTATACACTGGGATAAAAACTGAAAGAGCGATTTATTAGGTTGTAGTCTACAGTGCTTGCAAATGAAGCCCTCTTTTATTACTACAGGGCCATGTAGTTTCTAAGTTTTAAAATAATGCAGCAACTGCATGCCACGTTTGGAAAATCACGCAATGTTGCGTGACGCTGAGACCGATGTTTTTTATTTACAGCATGCTCTGCTGAAGAAATAAGGCTTGGCCGCAATCGAGGGAGTTTTTTTTCGTGGAAAACTGATTTTCTAGGTTATTGTTCACATGAAGGACAAATCCATTCATCGGGCTCTTCATCTTTTTTTACACAACACCTAAAGGAAGAAAGTCGCGGATTGATATTGTTTGGTAATTTTATAACAACTCCACTAGACCTAAAAAAGGAAAAAAAAAACAAACCAAACCAAAAACGTCTTACCAGTCAAGCCAGTTGCAGTAGCTCTCGCACTGAATCATATCGAAGTACCTTGACTGTTTTCAGTGATGGTACAACCAATCTTCGAACAGTTTTCGGCCATAACAAGAAAGAGTAAAATGATTTTATAAAACTTGTTTTAAATTTAATGAAGGCTGTTCATCATATGACGCTGTATTGGAACGAGTATATCTCGTTTGCTATTGTATCACACTACTGTTTTAGACAAGGAATTTATATCACTTAAATTTAAGAAAGAATAAGTAGAACATAAACCACATTTTCTGTAAAGTACACGAGCCATCCTAACCTAATTTGCCAATTACTTTCCAGGCATCGTCTGTAAAAAACCGCTTCAATTTTTCAAATTTGAAAATTTTTAGCTAAAACCGTGGCTCCCAAAAATATTTCTCACATTGCCTAAAAAATTTTCAGAAGAAATGTTCAAATTTTTCACAGCTTTGCCTATTCTTGCTCGTAGGTCCGGCCAAGCCCTTATGGTCATTGGCCCCTGCATTGGACGCTAACAATGGCTTATAAATATAGGCGTTTGGTGTTGACTTGTAAAACTCCCTGAAGAAGTTTACGACAGCTAGACGAAACGCGTCAGAGAATAAAGAAGTTTTATAATAACTGTTTGCACAGCGCTGCTCACTAGTTTAGTTTTAAATTTTTTAACATTTTTTTAAAAAAAATTGTTTAAAATTTATTAAAAAATTATTGAAAAAAAAATTAACAAACGTTTGAGTCGGAGCTATTCCTGTCAGCAGTGAAATACAGGAATGGCTCCAGTCTCTGATCGTCCGCCTGAACTGACTAAATGAGTTTAGTCAGCACATGACTTTTTCATCGCCGGAATATCGCTGTACGACCTCGCTGAACAAGAAAAGCTGCCTTCCCTTCGCTACGTAAGTAACCATTTCTTGTTTGATACATCGGTGTTTTCACTAGCATTGATATTTCATTGTTCCGCTTCGAGAAAACAGGACGATATCTCAATTGATATTCAACCCCAATAAATGTGAACCACCCATCCACAGATTCCGAGAACACCTTCGCGACGCGGAAAGAAATGACAAGGACGCATCCAAACCAGTCGCTAGACACTTTAATCTCCCTAATCATTCGAAACAGCATATAGCAGTCTGCGACCTTTCCTTACATCTAGGCGGTTCGGAAAGCCGCAAAACACTAGAACAAAAATTTATCTTTCATTCAACTAATTCATTCCTGTTTTCTCGTCACCATATTCCCACTAATGGCGTAGCTCCACTTTCTGCATATAAACCCACACACAATCCCCAATTCCTCCAATCGCTCTGACGAAGGGCTAACGCTCGAAACGTCAGCTTTTTTACCCTTTAAGGTGGCTAAATTACGTTTTCAACTCAGTTATTAACACTAAATTACCTGCTATACTCTCCCACCGACGCAATACCACAGTTTCTTTAGAAACTCACCCTCTTTAGCAAACAAACTGTTCAAGGCGAGTGTTTTATGAATGAATGACAGCCGAATTCACCGGAACATGAAGATCGCTCGGGATGACAGCGCCGCAAAACCCGGCTGCAGTGACTGATGTGACTTTCCACTCAACGCATCGAAAAGGATATCAGAGCAAGCTCTTATTTTTTAACTCGAAGAGCGGCTGATGTAGTATCTGAGGCTTGCTTTACTGCGATGACCGGAGATCGCCATGATCAGCGAGCCGCGATGGACTTTAGCATGATCATATTCGCTCTGACACCGTCACGATTAGTACGAGTTTTAACAGTTATGCCAGTTTGGTTTTATTTTCCATCATTTCTGTTTTGTTTTTGAACACTGAATTTTATATACTATACGAGTGTTAGTTGTGTTTGATTTTCATTACCGTACGTAAGCTTGCAATCTAACTGAGCGTGAGAATCTTTAAAACTCGGAATGTATATTTTGTTTTTCCTTTGAGGATTTTCGTATCTGCTCACGTTTTAATAACGGAAATCACGGCACCTGGTATGTTTACAAACCTTTGTTTGGTTCTTCTGTTGTTACTTGCTGGCTCGCTTGTTTCACTTGCAATTATCGGAAAAAAGCCAAAAGGAAGTCCCGGAAAAGGTCGAACATAATACGATTTGGCAGATGGCGTGACAGCTTTAGCTCAGCTCTATGCTCTATTTAACGTTGCCGTGTGTCTGTTCAGTAATAGATCACAGATGACGTCAAAATGTGGTAAGAACAAAAAAGTGGCACACGAGGCGCAGCACGGCAACTTGGAATCTATTTGTTTTGTATAATAACAAATTAAAATATACGGGAAAAAAAAGTTTTAATGATGACGTCATCTATACGTCTGTCCTCCAATAGATCATAAGTGAGAACCAATCAGAATGCGAGCATAACTGAGCTTATTATATAAACTCTCATAGAGCACGCTCTCTCAACCAATGACAGCGCGCGTTATATACGAACTTTATAATAAAACCTATTTATGCATTCGCCATCTGCCAATCAGAAAAGAGATATTTTGTTGAGTTTTTATCATCATTTTTTTATTATTGTTTTTTCACTCCAAGGCTCACAGGTGACACTTGGCGCCCTGTGCTACTAGGTTAGTTCTAAGCATACAGTTGTGTAGACTGCTGTAATAATAGTAATAATAATAATAATAATAATAATGATAATAATAATAATAATGGTTGAAGGATTTGGACGCCACTATTCAGTCACTGGTGGGAACAAAGAGTAGAGAGGTGCTGAGTAGAATGCAAAAGGCACTGCTATCAGCCACATTGAACATTGCTCAAACCCTCAAAATTGTAACTTTAAAGGATAATCACAAGGCGCCGGACGCTACTGATTTTAGTGACTTTTTATGACCTAGTTTTAATTCTAAATTTTAACTTATGTAATAATCACTTTGTGCATGTATTAATTCATTTCTTATTTTTAATTTTTTTTTTCTTCGTTTCTATTTCACTTCATAGCTCACAAGCTACCCCTTGGCGCCTTGTGTAGTTAATTTTTTAATTGTTTCGCATTCAGATAGTTTTACTGCGCCATAATAATAAATAATAATAATAATAACTAATAACATTTTCACAGGATTTCTGCTTCAGTTTAAAGAAAAAACTGCCATCAATGCAGATCATGTTCATACAATCAAGAAAAACATGTAAATATACATACAAAAAATTACATTCTAAAAAAGAAAGCGAACCATTGAAAAAGAATTTAGCAACAAGTTTCAAGAATTACTCAGAAAGAGTTGCTCCTTTGAAGTTAAAAGCGCGCTTGGTGCATCTCATCTGGACCTGTTTCAGAGAAAAAAAGGATGAATTTGCGACCCTGTTCCAGAAAAAAATGGCAATAAAGGCACCCTGTTCCAGACAAAATGCAAAATGGTTAAAATACAAATCTATATACTGTTTACGACTGTTATTGTTGTGCGAACAAACGAACGAACGAAAGACAAGGGGAGCGAAGTTTCGTAGCTACGTACTGACCGTTTGTCGTGATCGACCTTGTTCCAGAATCAAATCTAAAGATAAATGTACCCTCTTCCAGAGAGAAAGGGTGATTTTTATACCTTGTTCCAGAGTCAGAGGCAAAAAGCATACCCTGTTGAACGGCACACACCCGTATAGCTCATATATGGTATGATGTATATTTCGGCAAGTGGGGAGTTGATTCGCACGCAGCAATTGCGCTGAGAATCGATCTAAATAGAGGGCCTTTGCTGTACTTTTTGGCTATTTAATCATGAGTTATCAGTCAAGAACATACAGACATAAAGGGCTTAAAGGGAGGGGTGTGGTCTTGCAAGTATATGGAACAAAGTGATTCCTTTCTCTTTCAGCCCCCCCCTCTCCCTCCCAACAGAAACAGTCATTTCACATTTGAAGAGGGGTACTCATGCTCAGAGAACAGTCTCTAGACACTTAGAAATTATAACAAATGAGTTTACTTTATGATTCTTTTTTTCTTCAAACTATAATCTCCCTATAATTTTCTGTTGTAAATTGGTAGACTACTTTACACTCGTGATTTTAATCAAACAAGACAATTTTTATAAAGCTATTAAACAATACACTGGAGGAGCTGTGAACCACATGTACTTGTTGATAGCAAACATATAAATTATTCTAACTAGTACTGTTACTATGGCAACATAATATTTACATTTATTATACGGACGTGAGTGTTTTACTAGGAATTACACTGCTCGTAAAATTCATAAGAAACTACATTCGGGACCGTAGTGGCGTATTTTCCATATCCTCACTAGTGAAGATATCGATTAAGTTCATTTCCCGCGCGTTTTTAACCTTTAAGTGAATAAAACAGATTTAGCTTTTACTTAATGTGTTTTTGACTACATAATAAAAAGAAAATTACACGTTAGCTCGAAGATATAAATTTTATGTTCTCGTGGTAAGAACAACATGTCACTCATTCGCTGCACTCACTAGTGAGATATTGCTCTTGCCATGAGAACATAGAATTCATATCTTCTCCAGGGTTTTCATTTACTTTTGAAGTAGAAGAGCGCTGCCTTGTGAGTAGGCAGGTACACTGTTAAATTGAGGGCCGACGGCCCGAACCTCTATGGGGGATTAGGGGCATGCTCCCCTGGGAAACTTTTGAAACTCAAGTCTCCCAGAAGCGCATTTTCCTGCAATCTGGTAAAGAAATCTTCCTGGAATGATGCATACTTAATCTAATTATAATTAAAAAAATAATGGTACTCTGGGAAAATTTGTTTATTTCACTTATTTCACTACGCAGCTATAGCTACATCAAAACACTGCTCTTTTTCTCAGAGCTTCCTTTCATCCTACAATAACAAGTTAAACTTTAACTTATAAACTGATAAAGAGTGAAACTGACAACACTTTTTGTAGTTAACGAGAACTCAAAGTCAGAGCCGTAATCGCTTACGTTAATGCCTTTTGTCACCACGTACCACCCAGCAGTTCAAAACTTAACACAAATATTGATGGAACATCGGAGTCTGATACACAATCAGCACTTGCTAAAAGCAATTTGTTCAAAACCTCCGATGGGGTTTACAAAAGCCTCATAGGCTTTATCTTGAATGAAAATTGTAACAAAGTTTCTTTCAATTGCTCAGAATATTTAATCTTTAATGCCAACAAAATGTTGACTTATTGAGTTGCTCGTATCAGCTGATAAGAATCTTTTACGGCGACATTCGTCTCCTGTTGTCTATTTTATATTCTGAATTGTATTTCAGAAAAATACAAAGAATTTTATAAACAGTTTAAATAATGGAAAGCATAGAAAGCGTATATAATTTTTCGAAAAACCTTTTCACCGGCTGTAATCCAATTTAGTCATCGCACTTGACTTTCCATGTGCAAATTAGTGCTTAAGTGAGTTTTACTTTTGCTTGCCATGATGACTCCGCAGAACGCACTTGCTTTTACGGCACGTCATGCTTAAGAGTTATGTAAGAGCTAATTAGGCACTTTAGGAAGAGACAGTCCTAAGAACGCGATTATCGCGCAGCGTCTTTCCCGTCAAAGTAAATTTTATTTCCACGACCTAATGGCAAGTAATTGATAAATAAGTGCAGAAAAAAATGTTTTATACTTACAGGGAAGAGTTAGTATTTAGTTTGAAGTTAAACAAATCTGAACTTAGAAGTCTCTTCACTACAGCTACCGCCCAGACTCACTTCATATTTAACGGTTCTTTTTATGATAAAATAGATGGCGTAGCCATGGGGTCTCCTCTTGCTCCTGTCTTAGCCAATCTTTTTACGGGACATCATGAAAAACTTTGGTTGGAAAATTTTCATGGCTCTACAATTTTATTTTATCGCCCGTATGTTGATGATACTTTTAACTTATTTGCTTATTTAACTCAGATCGAGATGCCACTATATTTTTCGACTATATCAACTCTAGGCACCCTAACATCAAGTTCACTATGGAAAAGCAGGTTAATCACAAATTACCCTTTTTAGATGTCCTCATTGACAACCATGACCTCAATTCCTCTCTAACTAGGGTTTACCGCAAGAAAACTTTCACTGGGTTACTAACTAATTATTTCAGCTTCACCTCGTACTCTTACAAAGTGGGTCTCATTAAGACACTCGTTGATAGGGCCTACAAAATTAATAACACCTGGTTAGGGTTTCACGAGGACATCAGCAATCTTACTGATATTCTAAAAAAGAATCTTTTCCCTGCTCATTTAATCGAGATTATAAACCATTACATCACTGGGACCCAAAACAATCATCATTCCCGGGGTTCCCTTCCTACCACTTCACCTACGTTCTACTTTAAGCTACCCTACATAGGCCACTTCTCTGCTATCACTCAAAAAAAGATCCGCTATTTTATTAAGCGCTATTGCAAGGACTTGGATATCAAACTGGTTTTCTTTTCCTTTAAAATCGGTAACCTGTTTGGTGTGAAAGACCCTGTCCCTGACGGGCTCCGTTCACGTGTGGTTTATAAGTTTGTATGTGCTGGCTGTAATACCTGTTACGTCGGTGAAACCTGCCGGCATTTTTCCACACGTGTTAGAGAGCACTTAGTCAGTGACAGGGCCTCTCACATTTTCAGGCATCTGAAAGATTCTCCACATTGTCGCGCTTTGTGTTCTACAGATAATTTCCATGTTTAGTTCACGCCTCCACAAGCTTTCGACTTAAGATAAAAGAGGCTATTCATATTCAAAGAGAACAACCATCTTTGAATCAGAAATTACACCATGTAAATCTAAAACTATCTTTTTAATTCTCGCACTTTTATGCTTTACCTCTTTTCTTGTTGTCATTATTCATCTTAATAAGCATTGTTCTATTTACTATATAATTCAACTTTCAACGCTTTGTACAGTAATTAACTGAAGATGACAGAAGTTTCTGTTGAAACATGTCTTACAAACTCAAAAGTGTTGTCGCTTTCTTTAAATAGCTATACAAATATTGACTAGACTTATTGTGATTATAATTCAAGTCTTATGAAAAAGAGTTTAGATGAGGCTACAGTACATGCAGGTTACACTGTAGTTTTACCCTTTCCTAAGGGGTGCTGAGCTGCTGCATTAGATGAAGAATGGGTTTCCACATGTATTTTAGCCAAA